TAACTCCCGGTAATCATGCCCGCGCGATTTCGATCGAGCATTTCTGCCGAGGGTGGTAAAGTAGTCCTCCAGCGTTGCGGAACACCTTGTTCAATTTGCTCCAGCACGGTGGCAATTTGAATTCATTGAGACATTCGCACGGAGCCGTACCCGGTGCTCGAACCGTCGTTATTCCCCGGGAAGAATAGGCCGGTTGCCGAGGACTTTCTAAATCACGGGCAACCCTATTTCATCTCCTTTCACTCGACACGAGTCCTCTAGAACTCGCGGCGGACGCGACGCGAGGCGACGCGGCGCTGCGAGGGATGATACCGTGGCGTCGGGGTAATGGACCGAGCCAGAGGTGCTAGTGGATAAGAGACGAAGGGTAATTGAGAAGAGGAGATTTACTTCGGGGGTCGAGAGAGGCTGCGAGTGGGTAGTTTACGATGTTGCTCCGGATAGGGCGCAGTTATCGGGGACAGGGAAAGGGCTCGGCGTGCTTATGTGGATGAAGAGGAGACACACCGTTCGCCTGTATCCCCGACAAAACTGTCGCTCGTAAAACTTCCTGTCGATGATATCTTCGCCGACCTTTCCTTCCTATCCCGGAGGCGTCGGCGGCGCAGTTTTCGGGAATAGGACGTTTCACGGCGCTTTCCCAACGCAAACGATTATCGCTGTCGTTTCCCGGAAAGGGAATTTTAAGGGGCCTGAAATTAATGGGGTCGCCGTTTCACGACGCCGATAAATATGGTAAAGTGAATCGCTTTTTAACCATTGCCACCTAGCGTACGAGCGCAGCTGGCGGAAGCTATAGTTTTGAGCCACGTGCATTGTATTAGAGCACGGTGAACCGAGCCGTGTGTAATAACGCAGGCACAGTGACTCGCATTAATATTCGCGCACCTTTCGAAACGGAATAACTTTTTTAAAACTGGATTAAATGTCGTGAATTTTTGGAGATGTTTACCGTAGTTGATTGTACCATTTTCTGTAATTTAGTGTACAATTAACTCTTTGCACTCGAGTGGTGACTCCGAGGCACCATTAAAATTGTTACATCACGTTCCAAGATAATTTTTATGTTGCAAAAGTCAAAATATTGTTAAAAGTCTAACTGTTGTACGAGCCGCAAGACTATAAATTTCATATGCATAAAATGCGCTTTGTTAGATAAAATGAAAATACCATAAGTCGGAAAAATTAATTTAGATTTACAGTTAAAATGGCTTCGAGTGCAAAGGATTGAAATACTTTTTCAAATTTTGCTACTACTTGAAATGATAAAAAAAGAAGAATAAAAAGTTCACATCGATTGCTCTTTTTTATCGGAGCCAATAACAAAAATTTGAAAATGCGTTTTAGAGATCTCGGTAATTTGTGCGCATACTGAAAATCGAACGGTATCTTCAAGTTCCTCCGAAGTGCTCTTTTATATTTAATTCCGTGATAAACGAACAAATCTAACACCGCTAATATCGATGAAGCAAAGTGCTAGCAGTATTATCGTTGGTATTAATTGATTAAGAATTGTGCTTCACCCGTATTATATGAATTGTTACGTAATGGCAATAATAATGTAACCAAGATAAAACGGAGAGACACGAGTGCCCGAGGTTTCCGTAAAAGTAAGATTGAATTTAATAGCCTGGAACCTTCGAAGATCGACGTCGATTGTAAACGATTGTTTAAAAATGTCGATGGCGAAGTCGCGTTGATCCGAACGCCGTCTAAATTAAAACTGGATATACCGTGAATTCAATTTTTCTGTTACGACGAAGACGTAACAAGTTCGCAGAAAATGCTTTCGAAATACATCGATCAACGCAACAGAAACTCGTTACCCGTAGCGAAGTTTTAATTGAAAGTTCTGATATTTCATCCCTATTAAAAGCGGCGGAGGGGGGGGGGGGTAGAGGGACGTCGGTGCCTACGAGGCAAATAAAAATTGTTTCCCCCGATTTCCGCGTCTGGCATTCTTTAACCGAGCGAACGGTTTCCCGTATTATTTGCCGTTCGCGTTTTTCTCGCTTCGAAGGAAGCCCGACGAAGGAATCGGCCCGGCGGATGCGTAATTTAATTGCTCCAGTCGCCAGGCAAATATTTTATTTAATCGGAGAACGAGGACGAAGTTCCCGACTTCTGTCGATGTTTTCGTTGGCTTCCGCGATGCCGTCGCGCACCTTTAGAATCGACGTTCGTCGAAAGATCCGATGGGATCGACGACTTTGCACGAAACGAAGCGGAAGCGGGACGTCTCGACAGGCTCGAGACTGTCCCGAATAAGATTTCACGCGATAAACGTTGACACCTCTTGGGCTCTCCTGGCTGATAGGCTTGTCGTCGAACATATTTGTAATCGGACAACGATTACCATTATCCGACGATGTTTACTCGTTCCGATAAGGAACCGGTAGCCGTTTATCGATTGAATCAACATCCGGCGATTCGTTATCGCTCGGCACTCGAGAGAGCAAGACAAAGTGATACTTGTAACCGACTTTTTTCATGTTTCATTGACCTTCGCGGTTGGCAATCTGTTCAAGAATGATTTTACGAGAGTATCGAATTCATTGTTTGAACTGGAAGTCTTTATACAGGCTGTCCAAAAAATGTCTCGCAATCCGAAAGTGGCGGGTTCCTCGGGTCATTCGAAGCAACTTTTTCCTTTACAAAAATTTTCTCCGAGGCACCGTTAACGAGTTATTAACGA